AAGAAGAGGGGACACATGTTGATGTAGAAGAGACATGAAGAAGAGGGGACACATGTGATGTAGAAGAGACATGAAGAAGAGGGGACACATGTTGATGTAGAAGAGACATGAAGAAGAGGGACACATGTTGATGTGGAAGAGACATGAGAAGAGGAGGACACATGTTGATGAAGAAGAGACACATGTGTGAAGAAGAACATGAAGAAGAGGGACACATGTTGATGTAGAAGAGACATGAAGAAGAGGGGACACATGTTGATGAGAAGAGACATGAAGAAGAGGGGACACATGTTGATGTGAAGAGACATGAGAAGAGGGGACACATGTTGATGTGGAAGAGACATGAGAGGGGACACATGTTGATGTAGAAGAGACATGAAGAAGAGGGACACATGTTGATGTAGAAGAGACATGAAGAAGAGGGGACACATGTTGATGTAGAAGAGACAGAAGAGGGGACACATGTTGATGTAGAAGAGACATGAAGAAGAGGGGACACATGTTGATGAGAAGAGACATGAAGAAGAGGGGACACATGTTGATGTAGAAGAGACATGAAGAAGAGGGGACACATGTTGACGTAGAAGAGACATGAGAAGAGGGGACACATGTTGATGTAGAAGAGACAGAAGAGGGGACACATGTTGATGAAGAAGAGACATGAAGAAGAGGGGACACATGTTGATGTAGAAGAGACATGGAGAAGAGGGGACACATGTTGATGAAGAAGAGACATGAACAAGTGGATTTTGCATAATAGGTGACCTTTAAAACTAAACTTTATAAATCTGACCTCTCTAGGATCCAGCAGGAGGTTCCCAGTAAGGCGGTGCTGGAGCAGGAGATGGTTTGGATGAAGGAGCATCTCTCCACTCTGGGTTCTCCGGTGGTTCTCTGCCACAACGACCTGCTCTGCAAGAACATCATCCACAACAGCAAAGAGGGTGAGAACCTCCGGGCTTCCTGTGGAACCAGAGCTTTGCAGAGAGTCAATGTCACTCTAGTCTAAAAAGTCAATTTCCTTTTCATGGAATATAGTCCTGAAAAAAAGTCAGAAGTAAAAAATGTGGAGGAAATCTGGACAGGATGTGTTTTAGATGTTGTTGTTGTTGTCTTTCCTCTGCCCTGTGCACTCTCTACTCGTTGCGACCTTTCTTATTTCCTTTCCTTCCTGTCCTCTTCCATCTCTATGTTTAATCCGCTTTCTTAACAATAACATGAATTCATATAGTCATTTATAAACAGTATCCTATGTTTACATTTTGCTAGTTGTAGGTCGGCCTATAAGTCAAAGTCAACTTTATTGTCAATCTTTCAGTTTGTATGTACAGACAGAGAGATCGATAATAATACAAAAATAAAAATATGTATATCCTATATATATATACACAATCAACAGACACATTTATACATATGCACACATTAAGACATACAGTATATAAAAGCACAACAATCTATATATACAAAATAACAGTCACTTCAATATCTTTCATAGTGTACACTGATGTTAATTCGGTATATTGTATATTCAATAGAGATTTATATTTTACTGCTTCAACACACTCCTGAGCCTTCAACGTGAACAGCTGCTACATCATTATACATTTAACATTTTCCATGTCCTCTCGTCGTCTCTCAGGTCATGTTCGCTTCATAGACTACGAATACTCCAGCTACAACTACCAGGCCTTCGACATCGGCAACCACTTCAATGAGTTTGCAGGTTTGTCAAACCACAGTGTGATCAGAACCCTCAGAGTCATTGTCACATCCATCCAGTGGGGCTTTATTATACAGCTGTTTTAGTTTAGCTTATTGTTCATAGTGTTGTGGACAGTCCTCACTGTCACAACAGAACAGTAAATGGGGCATTAGCTTTAGCCAACATTGCTCATTTCCAGCTGTTATCCCCGGCCAGATGATAACAGACAGCTTTAGATAGATAGATAGATAGG